TCCAGGCATTAGCAGGTATTCCTGCAACACAGCACTATTCACAGTGATTTGGAAGGTTCCCACTAGTAACAAAGGACAAAGTGCTTTTAAAACCCCTAACGCTAAAAGCAGGGAGGGAAGGCGGCATGGTGTAGCCCACTCTCATCAGATCTCAAAAGCTAAGCAGGGTCTGTACTTGGATGGGAGAACATCAAAGAAGACTCTGCAGAGGAAGGCAATGGCAAACCACCTCTGCTTCTCACTTGCCTTCAAAGCCCCTTGCTGGGGTCACCATAAAATGGCTGCAACTTGACTGCATTTTATATTCACAATGCTAAAGGCAGCATTCTCGTCACATATTGTGAGAAACCTGGAAGATACGCCAGCACCAATGTTCCCTCTAAGCTGTAGAGTCTTGTGAGCAACAATTCTACTTTGTGAGCTACTGGCATTAAAGTTGTGAGCAAGTGATTTGGCTTCTGCATAAATTAGTCTGCTCTGGAGCCATCCTTCTTGAGCTAAGACAAAAATGTGTGAGCCGGGGGCTAAAAAACCATGAGCTAGCTCACGCTAACTCAGCTTAGAGGGAACACTGGCCAGCACCACACTGTGCATTTCTATGTCCCTGCTGCCACAGCCAATGAGGCAAGGGTGGAGTAAGCAGGGGTTGACTGGGAAGCAAAACAGTCCAGGAAACAGGCCACTCTCCCTCCCAATGGAGGAACGAGTGGTTGGTGGTGAGGGCTGCAATTCTCACTTGGGGTGGCCTGCCACAAGGCCAGTGTCATCTGGTGCAGAGCCACCACAAGCAAGGTGGCCACAGTGGCGGTGGGACAGCCCCCAGGCCATTAGCCCACTAGGGACCTTTCCTGGTGGCCTTAATGACTAATAAGCCCTTGAAAGGCAGAGAAAACACATAACCCAGTGATGTTATGTCATGACAAACAGGTCCTTCCTGCATTTGCCTGCTACTCCAGATTTTCTCAGTGCTCAAGTCGAGGCAATTTAAATCCACGGCAAAACAGCATCCCAATAACCTGCGGCAACAGCAGGCTGAAACCGGGCTGACCACTGAAGGGAGGGAATTTAATGCAAAACTAAAAAGAAGGTTGAATTTGATTTTAGTGCAGAATTGCTTGGATGACACTGTGGTGAACATGGATTAAAAGGAGAGTGCAGAAGAAAGAGACTTGGGCTGCATCTATACGTCACTAGATACTGTCAGTTCAGTTCAGTTAGCCTTTATTGGCATAAAACCATACCTTCACTGGATACTGTCAATGTACCACACCAACCATTTGCAAATGGATTTTTCCGGTTGGGCAAGACAATCAGTTGCAAATGACTCCTATGGCACAGTGACAGTGCAGCATTCAGCAATGCGTAGAGGCAACCCTGAAGTAGTGGTAGTTCCATGTCTCTTGTAAAATCTAGTTGTGCCCTGCCTCATTTGTGATGAGGAGGCTTGTTGAAGAAATCATACGACACCCCCTCCCTTTGTGCTGAAATCTGCCCAGAACCAGATGAACCCATGTTCTCACTATACCAGTGTGAGCATAGGGTTAGTTTACTATTACATTTACTGTTCTATGTGGAAAACAAATATTTTTTTTTAAAAAAAAAATACCATTCTGACGGATGAATTGGAACTACGTTCCCAGACGGAAGGCATTATTTTTCTTAGAATATATATAAAGTGAAGTTACAAAAAAAAATTAATCTCACCACTGCCAGTATGTTTTACTGGGGAGTTCTAAATATCAATCTGTAAGAAGCACGCGCACACACACAGCGTCAGTCCTCATCCACCCCCAAATCAAAGCGGCTTCCCCAAAAGCTTTTAATATCACTTGGCAAGACGAGTGTTGCTTTTGGCACGGAAGCTTTACGGAACCTTCAGGGAGGGGGAAGGTCCTGCTACTTCACCCTAATCTTAATCCAAATAGCAAATGCGGCACACTCCCTGACTGGCAGCTGCTGCAACTGATCAGCCTCCCCACATGGCTAACTGGCAATGCACTGGTCTCTAAAGAAATAAACAGAGGCTGATTCAACGGGTGGATTTGGGTTGGCGCAGGAACCTGTGAAGCATCACAGCCCTGTTTTTCAAAGAAATGGAGATTACATACGTATATACGTATGATACAGGGACATAGATAGACAAGCTTATATAGATATCTATATATATATGGTGAAAACCATGGATTTTCCTGAGCTCTTTGGAGGAAGGCCACAACAGCAATGAGACAGATTAGACTTGATTGATGGCAGAGCAATAATTTAGGCATTACATTCTGTAACAGACAGTCATGATTCCCCAGGCAAGCTGATGAGCAGGACATGCTGGAGACAGCCAGCCCTTGTTTTGATACCTGGGAGCCATGGGTAGATTACCTCCAAACACCTAGCCTCCATTTTCCGCTATTCTGTCTAGGCGATGAGGAAGGGGACTGAGCAACTGTGAGATGAATTGTTGTTAGTGTTAGTGACACAAAGGAGAGCTCCCCATTATCATGCACCTTAGAAATCCATTTGAAGAAGGGCACATCCTGCGAGAAGCAGAAAGTCGGGTCTAATAAGATTCTGGATATCCTCCCAGTGGTTTTAGTGAGGCGTCAGCCGATGCAGTAATGAGTGGCCCCGTAAAGACGCCAGATGAAAAACAGTTTCAACATTCTTTCACCATCACAGCCACCACACTTGCTTCATTCATTTTATGAGCATGTTTCTCAAGCTGTTTCCTCTAATTAGATCATCTTGTGCACCACGTCTCACAAGCCCTTCTCAGTAAACCACAGCAAAAAAAAATTCCATCGCTGCCTTCCCTGATTTTGCTGCCACAAGAGATCCATTTGACCAAATGAAACCATAGCATCCCCAGTTACAAAAGCATCTCCCTTACATCATGGAAAGAAAAAAAAAACCTGGTATCCCTTACATCATGGAAAGAAAAAAAAAACTGGTACATCTTGCTTTGATAACCTGCTAGGCTCTGCCACTGTTCCTAACTGCTGACTCTGCTACATCTAAATTGAAAACATCTCAAATCTTGAGCACTCAGTGCTGAGGTGCTTTTTAAGAACTCCGGCAACCAACCAGGAAACAGCGCTGATAGAACTGTTTCTCCATTGGCTGGAGGCATCCATACGGAAAGCTGTTATTCCGCCTGGGGCCTCAAACACAGCACCAGTACACAGAATTACAGCACTGGGTAACAGTTATATATCACTGTTCATGGAAACACTCTCTTGCAGAAGCCAATGTGCTGGATTCAGCAATCCACCAGTGGAAGTCACCAACAGTCACAGAGTCTTCCTGCGTTCCTCTCTTGATCCCAGGACAGTTGGCTCCCAGGGTTGCAGGATGCATGTGGATCAACAGCTACATGGCCAGGCAGCTACAACACCAAAGGAGGCAAGACCCTAAATTGCCCATCCTGCTCTTCTGCTAGCAGAGCTGGAATGACAGAAGGGGGAGACTTCACCCCCTTCTCCATCCCTCAATGCAGCCCCCTCAACTCACACAGCTGTCAACCTGCATGGGACACGCAACCCTATGAATCAAGCTGCCCAGAGTTGGGATTGCTAGATCAAGAGAAATACAAAAAAGATCTGTGATCCTCATGTCCGTGGAGCACTAGGTTTAACCCAGTACTAGAAGCAATACACCACTAATGCTAATTGCCGGTCTCCAGGATACAATTTCCATTACCACCAAGGTTAGGAAAGCAATTTTGATCACAGAAACATTAACATCATTTCACTGCTATTATTTCTTGGCTATTGTGTACACACTGCCGACAGAAATGAACTATGTTGGCGGTACGTCCCTAGAAGCAATCTAGTCCGTCCCCCCTCCCCGATATATCTGCAAGAGAACTGAAAAGAAGTTACAAGAGCCAGAAACACAATACCTTATTAAAGGAGGAAAAGATAAACTTGAGCTTACCTTAGAAGAATCACATTGTTTGACATAAAGGCTCCAATCGTCACATCTGAAAACAACGTTTTGTAACATTTAGAGAATTATAATGTAGTGTGAAACACACAGTAACAGCCCTGCACAATGTATCATAGTTTGAAAATTACGAAGCATGGTTAAGACTTACCTCCTCCTCAGACTGCTGGACAGGAGGTGGGGGGCAGCTGGAAGGAAGTGGCTGGGTGGAGCATGGGCAGGGGAGGCCAGGATGTGGTCCAGGGCAGGGCGTGAGGAGAGGGACCTTTAGGCTTCTCTGCATCAGACTCCAGCCTCTTTTTTCCTTGAAGGCACCCTCCCTCCCAAATATTCCTGCTAGTTGATGTATTTGTAATTTTTACCAGTTGCTGTGTGACGTTCTTTACTCTCTATATTGTCACAGCTTGGCAGTTTGGGTCCCTTGGGGGGGAGGCATGCCTGCACACGTGTCTCCCTCATTTTCGGGGGCCCCATAAGGGGCCCTGGTGTGTGGAGCCACTCAGCCACAGGCCCAAGCATGGGCTGCCGGCTGGCTTCCACCCCAGGTGGCAGGGGGACCATGAAGAGGCCAGTGCCTGCATATGTCCCAGTATCCTGCCACTCCATGGTCAACCCCTCAGCAGGTTGGGCTGGGGACATCGGGCAGCAGGTGGGCCGCCCGATATTGGGACCTGCCCTTATGCTGTGCCACTGCTCCTTTGTCTGTAGTAAATGAGCTGTGGCCATGTTTGATCCAAGAAGGTTCTGTGTGTGATCATTCCTTCCACGCCTCCCCCCCCCATACCCTTCTTGAACCTGCAAATACCCCCTTTCAAAAAAGGAAGACCATTTTCCTGCAGTGTAATGGTTCCAGTCAATGGACTGGATGGCTTTTCTGCTGATGCAATCTTGTCTAATTCCCCTTTGTACTGCAGCACTGACATGGCCTTTTGTCCGTGTGGGTCCCACAATCCCTGACATATTTTGCATCCAGCAGGGAAGTGAGTAGGATCCAGTTCAACAAGTTACTCTTTTAACAACTTGATGTGGGATATTACGGAATATTAACAATATGGTCCTTAAATCCAGATCTCCCTTTTCTGTTCCTCCTAATGGGTTTCTTAATTAAGGTGTGGGGGAGAGGTTCAAATCTGTTCTAAATTCTAAACCAACCAGATAAACACACTCTGAAACAGGCTTAATCGTGCCGGCATGTTTTCGAAAGAACAAAGGGAAAGTGGAAACATTCAACCCATGAATTTTCAGTTCAAAATTTGCACAATATTTTTAATTAATTGTATCTGTTGCTTCACTTGATTCTTCTAATTGGTGTTGCAGACCTACCTGGATAACCATTTCCATCCATATCAACGCCTCCAGAAATAGACTGGCCAAACATCTGCAATCTTGGGTCGACCCTTTTCCCTGATATCCTCTGTAACAGACAACATAGAACTGGGATCAACAGAATCAAGCAAATGTGGACATTTTTCTTGTGAACTTGTTGCATTCAAAGACAAACCTCCTGCTGGCTCAGGAGGAACTGTGCCTGAGAACAACCACATGTTCATCTCGGTCAAACCACTGACTAAGACAAGCTCTCTGCCATCCCAATATTCGCTTCTGTATCCAGTCCACTGATATTAAACCAATTGGGCTCAAGGCAATGTTCAGCTCCATAGTCTATTCTATTTGGTATGGCAGAAGAGAGAGTTTATCCATACACTGGTCATCACACTGTTGCTTATTTTTCCAACTCATGAAATCTATAGCAATGACCCATCCAGGACTACTACCTCCCTAAAACTATCACATGGTGTCTTACCTGTGGGGTTTTCAGTCAATTTGAGGCAGAATTATAGTGAGATACTACAAAATATTTCCTGTGTGGAACTTTACAAGGTGTCCAGTACCTGCAAAGCACCACTGGGCCTAAGACCCATAATTCAGATGGCCAGCAACACTGATTCTCCATATGCTGAGTGGACTAGAACAGAGATCCTTGGCCCCTGTCCCATTCACTCAGGAGAACGTTCTACCCAACTCCATCAAACATGGTATTCCCACAGGAGGAGGGCAGATAGTACAATAACCAGTGCTTCTGATTAAGAGATAAAGCACCCAACCTACAGCAGGCAAAAGCTTCCAGGCAAATAGGCTGTTATAGTTCTTGCCCCAACCCATTAAAAAAGTGGAAATATTGGTCCAACAGTCAGATGGGAAATCAAACAAACAAAAAAAGAGACAAAGTTCAAAGCCCCCAGGAAAGAAAAGAGCTCTTAAACCTCTGATCTCATGAAGTAATGAAGAAAACTTTCCAATTTTTGAACCGATAACATTAAGGCAGCCAAAAGCAGCTGAACTCCTCAAATTACATCTGCACAAGAGAATGTGGCTAGGCTTTTGTGGAGGGTCCCTGTTAGGGTGGCAAACCAGGGCTCTCCATATCCCACAGACATCTGCAGGCGATTAGGGCATAAAAGGTTGCAGCATAATGCTACACAGCTCTGAGTACTGCAAACAAAGCCAAAGGCAGTGAAAAACTGAGCTTGACGGTATCATTTATCTGCAAGCTCATGGAGGGGCTTCCTTTGTACCTATGGAGGTAAAAATCAGCAATTCAAAATGAAAAAAATATACACTGCTGTAAAGGGATAGCCCTTGATTCAACCACACACAGGTCGTTTCTTAAGTCATAGCATTTGGATGGTTCAGAGTTATAGTAACACTAACAGGACACAAAGCTTTTCACCCCAAGTTTACTGGTTCAAACAGAGGCCAGGTAGAAGGACACCACAAACATCTGAAACTGTTTGATGGATTTGAAGGCCAAAGGACTGGCTGACCTTCAGCCCTGTTCCATGTGTACAACAGACAGCATTAAAACAAAGCCATTATAAAGGAGAGAGGGGGAGAGAGACCCCAATGAAAACTAAGGGGGGAAGTAATGGCAGGAATGTATCATGAAGAGGACGGCAAAAGCTGAAGACTAATCTAGCAGGAGACAGCAGCTAGCTTTCCTGTTTGTTAATGTTTTAACTGTCTCATTATGAAACTTCGATACTCTTCAAATAACATTTAAAAATACAAAAAAATCACCAATGTAATCGTAATCTGAACTGCTCATACTCATTCCAATTCATTCGTTTTCCCTGTCCTATCCCTGGTGCAGAGAAGGCAGAGTCCTTCATATGCTGCAAATTATCACTTATAAAAAGCATCATAAAAAGGGATTTTGTTAGCAATTTTTTTAAAAAAAAAAAACTAAGCAGTCAGCAACCAGCAGAGCTAATCAGCTACAGCTTGCTCTAAGAATCTCAGATGTGACCACTAAAATTCTGACTTTGCATCCTGCACGGGCTCCCACCCAGCAACAAAACAAAATACTTAGGTCAGAACTTTAAACTGCTGAAGGAAAAGGAAAAATAACAGTCCTGAAAACAATACAAAAAATTACTGCGACCCAAATTGGTCCAAACGTCTGATGTTGTGATCTACTGTTCACATATGGTGGTGTGTTTGTGTGCTTGTGGATTACAACTCATTGAAGGAGGTAGGACTAGATAACCAGAAAACTGCCAGTTTGGTGCAGTGGTTAAGACTGTGGACTCTAATCTGGGAGAACCGGGTTTGATTCCCCACTCCTCCACTTGCACCTGCTGGATGACTTTGAGCAAGCCATAGTTCTGACAAGAACTGTCCTTGAAAGGGCAGTTCTTGAAAGAGCTCTCTCAGCCCCACCCACCTCACAGGGTGTCTGTTGTGGGGAGGGGAAGGGAAAGGAGTTTGTAAGCCACTCTGAGACTCCGAGTAAAGGACGGGGTATAAATCCAATCTCTTCTCTTCTTCTTCTTCCAGTTCCATCCAAAGGTACAGTTCAGGATTGTTTAATAGAAGTAACAAGGCACATGGCTTATTTGTTACATTAAGCACACCACGAGGGTTTGTTTTTTATTGCACTCCACTGTATGACATAAGGACATCACCTATATAAGGAGGAGAAGAAGAGGCTGGATTTATACCCCGCCCTTCACTACCTGAAGGAGTCTCAGAGCAGCTTACAATCTCCTTTCCCTCCCCCTCCCCACAACAGACACCCTGTGAGGTAGGTGGGGCTGAGAGAGCTCTTTTGAGAGCTGCTCTTTCAAGAACAGCTCTGACAGAACTATGGCTTGCCCAAGGTCATCCAGCAGCTACAAGTGGAGGAGTGGGGAATCAAACCTGGTTCTCCCAGACTAGAGTCCACACACTTAACCACTACACCCAACATGCACATGACAAAACTGCATGTGTACAATTCTTCTCTTTCAAAATCAGAGGAGGGAAACAGAAGTCATGTTACTGAGACCATTCTGTCCAAGGCCACCTGTCCAAGGTCTTCCTATTGTTTATTCCTTGAGGTGTATGATGGAGAAAAGCAGTGGGTGCCAAGATCTCCATGGGAATGAATCAACAGCCCACTGTTTGTAGTCAACAATTTGTTGGCAAAGACAGAATTCACCTTTTTTGACTAATAATTCTGGTGAGAGCCATATTTTCCTAGAAACCAGATTTTAATTCACACAAAGCTGAGAGCTCATAAGAGGTCACAAGAGAAAAATGAGCTGTATTTGAACCTTACATTTCTTAAGTTCTCCAACCTGCATTCACTCAGGGCCAAAATACTCATTACATGTGACACCAGCTGGGTCAAGATTCCCAATCCAACTCCCAGTCACACTTTCACATGGGGACCAACCTTTTAAAACCTCTCCATCACTCTTTGTTGCTCCAAATGCTGGGAGGGGAGGGGCTTCAGGCTTCACTCCTGTGTCATTTTCACCCATGGAAACAGCCAGAGGGAGCCTGCTTGATCCTTCCTACAGCTCCATGTGCCCTGGGATATACATGTGGAGCCTGAGGAAGGGGCAAACAGACTTCCCCGCAGCCATCTTCACTTCAAACCTGAAGCCCCTCCTGCCCCCACAGCATTTGGATAAACACAGAGCAACTGAGAGGTATTTAAAGGTTAGTCCCCATGTGAACATATGAATGAGCATTTGGTTGGGCACTTTGACCTGAGTCACATCACACAAAATGTGTATTCGGGTCCTCAAAGTGTTACCATAGAAGCTTCTAGAATCAATTACACTGTGGCAAGTCTCTTATCATTAGCCATCAAGGACATCGGCCCTTTTCACATTACTGTTCTAAACCAGATGTTATTTGTTGCTGGCCCGATTTTGAATAAAGTGATACAGGGATAGGGGTTTCATACAGTGAATTTCCTTCTGTTAATGAGCTGTCTCTGAAGTGCTATGGTCATATCAAACCGTGCCGCTTCCCCCTCCCCAGCCCTTTTTCACTGCATGGTCTTCCTCAGATTTTTTAAACGTTCTAAGGTGAGGACTATAACACTAAACCTCTATAGCACTCAATGGAGTCAATGCATCACCTTCAAAATTGAAAGTAGGCCAAGTAGTCAGCCCCATTCAACAGAATTTCTGGCCAACACCCAAGTCTTAGATCCGCACCAACTTTGTGTACATACCATGGCACATGTCTAAAGAGCACCATAAGGTCACACAAGCAAGACTTACCATAGAATATTGTGGTACAATGCCACCAGAATGTCCATGGTAGATATAAACTGCTCCTATGTAATCGTCTTCTTTAGGGGCACCAATGGCAACATCTAGGTATTAAAGACAATGCAAGCAAAGTGGAAAAAATGCAATGCAAACAATTAAAAAAAATACTACATTAAAAAAAAAACAACCAAAATAGCCCATTGAGGATCGAGAATTTTAAGTGCCCTCTGAATGCTGAATCAGTTAACAAAACTAATTATTTTAAATGATATTAAATAAAATAAAAGTGAAGGGAAAAAACTGATGGAGATGGGCAAATTGGCCTGCTTAAGTTCCTAAAACCAGACAGTATTCTAGAAGAGGGGTTTGGGCAGGCGGCAAAAGCTTCCAGTCACTTACTTTCCTCCTCCATAATCCCCATGGGATCAGAGGCTTATTTTAAGAAATACATCTTTGAGCTTTTTCCAATAACACCAGCAACATAGTTGCATGCCTTCCCATGCTTTAGGATCTTAAGAGAAATCTCAGGCACTATCCATGCATGAAACTAACAGTGGCAACATGGAACACAAGCTATTATATGGCACAGTCACTGAAATTATCTGTTCATAATACAATGTTTCTTTCAGCTATGCTCCTGCAGAGTGCAGGGGGTTGGACTAGATGACCTGCAAGGTCCCTTCCAACTCTAACATTCTATGATTCTATGATACACTCTTTATCTGAAACAAATGGAAACAGATGGCCCAAATCAGTGCTGAAAGTAATCCACTGAGATCCATGTTAATTATATGGATGTATACACCTATATGAATTAGACTAGGACACAAAAAACAAAGTTGGCTTAAAATTCGTGTTGTTAGCATTAATCCATGTGTAATGAAATTAACTAAAGTAGCAGCTGATTAATCAGCAGGAGTCAACATCAATAAGTGAGGACTCATTTTAATTGGATTGGTAAAGCTGAGAGTTAAGAGCAAACTTTTGGAAACCGCTATAATTTAGGTGTGTGAATGTGACAGGGAGTCGGGGGGGGGAGTTAACAACAACTTTGCTTTTGCTTATTAAGAGTATACTTGCATGTACCCTCAAAAATAGCAACAGCTTGGCCTGGCAGAAAATTCAGTAAAGAAGTTACTCTCAGTAGACATGGATACACCAGTGAGAATAACCAATTCATTACTTTTTTAAAAAAACAGATTTTATGAATTTCAAGAAAAGATACTACAAAGAAACAAAATGAAAAGAGATAAGAAACAGAACAGAAAAACTGCTAACGGAATGGACACTATACTCTTACATCAGCTTCATTATTTGACTGGCACAGAGGACAATACAGAACAAAAATACTTTATTGCTGAAGTTAATTGCTGCTGTTTAAAAAATCGTACATCCCCATACTACTGGGCTGCCAAAGAACATGGTGGCTAGACATCATAAAGGTCGACACCAGCCTGAGCATGGAATGACTCAAAGAAACAGTACAAGATCGGAAAACGCGGAGAGAGCTGGCCCATAGAATCGCCAAGAGTTGAACACGACTGAATGGCTAACAACGATACTTCCATCAATATCTCAAGAATGCATTTATAGGGAAGATTAGCAATATGACAAAATATTAATCTCTTCAAAGCAAATGAAGTAATCAACTAAGGATACTTTATCGCAGGACAGCTCAATGTTAAACATCATTTTCTGCATTCAAAAGGATTATACATTTACCCCCAGACATTGTGCACATCTCATTAAGCAAGAACAAACGAAGCACATGTATGAAAAGGAAAGACACTGACCTGGGAATCCATCATCATCGATATCCCCCAGGGAAGCCATACTTTCCCCAAAGTGTGCATTGTAGGCATTATCACCATTCAGAACTAGCTGCTCCTCCATGACTCCCTAGCAAACAGGAAATAGGACTGGCTAAGGAAAACAGAGTAAGTGTTGAATGATACATGGCCTCTTTGCTGGAACACACTGGGGCACATGTCCCTCAGGAAGCACCTGGAGCATGACGGGGCTAAGACTCCAACCAGAACTTCAGTGAGTGCAGTAAAACCTGCCTGTTACAAAAGGAAATACTCAGCGTTTTAAAAAGGAATCTAATTGCTCCTGAAAAGGAAGCAGCCAGCCAGGAGGACAGAGTAACAGACCAATTAATGACAAAACGGTAACATGTGAAGAACTACTTGAGCCCGTCACTTTTTATGCATTGTGGCTAAAATCCATGTACGACTGAAGGGCTCTAACACTTGTGAGGAAAGAACCCAACCGGCGTTCAGTCACTTCTGTTTTGCTCAAAGGCATAAATAGGATGAAACCTTAGAACAGCAGATTTGTGGCAAAAATCCCATGCAATAATCCTTCCTCAGAAAACATGGGTGGGAATTCTGGTTGGCATATCCCTCACATGTTCCTCATTACAAGTGACAGTCTGCATTTGGCTGAATACTGATCCAGCTACTGAGATGTCCTGGACCATGAGTGGTATGAGCAGGCAATACATAGCAATTGGGGGGGGGCTAGGGGAAAAAATGTAACAAATGTAGGACAGTTAGGGGAAATTAAGTCATCAAGATATCCTCATCACTAGACAAAACCATGCTTCAGCAAGAAAAAGCAGGTAGCAAAACATAGCCTTAACATTTTGAAAAGCTGACATTTTCCTTTTGCAGACCGAAAGGTCGGTAGTGCAGCAGTTCGAGACCCGAGTGCTGCATGACAGAGCTCCCATCTCTGGCCCCAGTTCCTGCCAACCTAGCAGTTCGAAAGCAAGAAATTGCAAGCAGATAAATAGGTACCGCTTCGGTGGGAAGGTACCAGCGTTCCGAGGGCCTTGGCGTTTAGTCATGCCAGCCACATGACCACAGAAAAGTCTTCGGACAGCGCTGGCTCTTCAGCTTGGAAATGGAGACGAGCACTGCCCCCTAGAGTCGGATTCGACTGGCTTTCAAGCAAGGGAAACCTTTACCTTTATGGACAGTGTAGCATTAACAAACGATGCAACCGCTCAAGCAACAAAAACAAGTCAGGGAAGTTATTTAGCTCATTTTAAGTGTTCTTGCCTCTATTTCTAACCCATCATCAAGTAATCAAGTTCAGGGGGAAATTGGAAAGCCTACAGGTCAGGCATGAATGTTTACTTAGCCACGACTGCCACTGAATTCATTCATACACCCAAACCTGAGAGTAGCACCATCAATGGCACAGTAATGGACTTCTCCTAGACAGAAGGAGTGGGGGGGGGGCAGTCTATCATATCTAGGTTTGCATAGGGTCAGACCTTCAGAACAACTGCTTGCTTCCCTGGGCTCAGCAAACACAGTTACCAGCAATGTTCCCTCTAAGCTGTAGAGTCTTGTGAGCAAAAATTCTACTTTGTGAGCTACTGGCATGAAAGTTGTGAGCGAGTGATTTGGCTCCTGCATAAATTAGTTTGCTCTGGAGCCATCCTTCCTGAGCCAAGACAGAAATGTGTGAGCTGGAGGCTAAAGAACTGTGAGCTAGCTCACACTAACTCAGCTTAGAGGGAACACTGGTTACCAGGCCCCAACTGGCCACGGGCAGGGGATGGGGGGGAAGGGTTGCCAGACCCAGGTCAGGAAACTCCTGGAGATTTGGGGATGGAGCCTGGGGAGGACAGGGACCTCAGTGGGGTACAATGCCCTAGAGTCCACCCCCCAAGTATCCACTTTCTCCAGGGGAACTGAACTCTGTATTCTGGAGGTGAGTTGTACTTCCGAGGCTGGCATCCCTATCAGGAGACGGGATACAAAAATCATATTAAAGGACAAGAGGGCTGGAAAAAACGTGAGAGTGGCACTACCCAGCACTTCAGACGTGATTTGTGATACAAACCTGATGTACTGGCACCTATCTGAAGAATGTGGTTTGATTTTTCATGTAAAAAAAATTATATATTTTGGAGTCCAGGGGGTAACAAAGCAGAGGGATTGCAGAAGCAAAGAAACCGTTTCGCAAAATAAGGGCAAGTGATGTATTCCTAAGAGTGAAGATAGGTTAATGTTCAAGAACAGTCTAAGAGAATAAAGTTTTGTTTGTAAATCCAACCAGAATTCCCACAAAAAATTATTCCCCCCAACTTGCTACTATTTACCTCCTATCTCTCCAGAGAAAGAGACCATTCCCACAATAAACCAACCTGGTTGCTTAAAACAAGCTTTAAACATCACAAGGTGTTTTTACCCAATTTGTTTGTGAATGAGAACAGATTCGTTTTGGGAAATTGCAATAAAATGTTTTGGGGGAGTCTTCAGGAAATTGTAATAAGGGGGGGGTCGTTTAGAAAGCTACTGACATAAAGAAAATCGTACATACCAAATCTGTAAGAAAAACAAAGAGGGAAATGTTCTGTTTTATGGTGTTTTTCTTTTCTTCAGTATTCACCACTAGGAACAATTTTATTTTGCCCTAAGGCTCCACATGCAGAACACATAACATTATACGTGCATAGCTGCTCTCTTTGGGCACGTGCAAGTAATCGGAGAAGAGACTGAATGGGTGAAGTGAGAATCAAACTGAGTGGTCCTGGTCACAGGGACAGATCAAGAGCATGTTTTTAATGGCATTAATATAAACAAAGCTGGGTTGGGGAGGATTACCAATGAACACTTTTAGAATTTCATACAATTTTCTATTAATCCACTGAAGTTTTAGGGTTCACAGAACCCAGCTGGTAATCTTTTGCTGTTCCACGGCTTCTTATTCTCTTGTATTTTTTTCTATTTGTGTGTCATTTTTGCTTCTTGACCAAGTACTTCACAACTACACACAGCTCTTTTACCACTGGGGAGACCGGGTTCAAATGATGATACCACAGATTGCTGCGGGGGGCATCGAACCAAGCACACCCTCTCAGCTCTTAAAATAATCCCAGAATTATCATCTGGGGTGAATGGGCCATCCCCCTGTACGCAACCTTGCAGAACAGTAGGATGCAAACATACCCAACGTGGAAAACTCAACACAGAGGGATATAATTTTGCAGATGAGATACCAGGCACAGAAAAGCCAGATGGCTAGAGTCAAAGCATTATTGCAGCCAACCCAGGAACTGAATCCATCTTTCCAAAACACAGTGTTTACAACTAAACTTCTGTCAAGATTATCTTATCACAGTCTGAAGGGTTCTCCATCCATCACTTATTCTATGCCATAAAGGCCTTCCAGAGTCCCAGATCTCTTATCTCCAAATACCAACAGTGCTGTTATCCTACTTCAACTGTCTGATGAACAACGCAAATTAGTGGGGTGCCAGTGGGCACGCATGACCTTAAGTGACCTAAGTGGTCATGGTCTGAGACCCATATGTTAGGCACCAAAGCACAAACAGCATTTATTTGGGGGAAGAGACATTTTCACAAACAGAAGCATCTCTGAGAAAACCCATATGGCTCATGTTCTTTCCAAACAAGTCCTGGTCCTTTCAGAGGACAGGAAGTTTATGTTGATTATTTTCCTAGACTACTGTTTGTTCAGCAAAGGGTCATGGTGGTTGTGCAATGTACAGTTGAACAACAAAGCTTCCAGTCATTTCTTGTTCTGATCGCAGATTTTTTTAATAAGTAACAACACTATGACTTCTTTCCACATAGGCTCCTATTTTCTCCATTTTGACACAGTTACAGGTCAAACAGGGTTAGTTCTATTTCCCCCCAAAAGATGCTACAGCTAGTCCAAAAGTCGCTACACTTGAAAGCGAAATCTCCATGAGATGTTGCAGAACTATAATTCATTAGCAAATATGATAGTGTTGCACTAGAGTTTACAATACACTGGAAACAGCTCTCTCATGGTAGACAGTGTCCTATATTAGGGGCTATTTCTCCTGCCACGCAGATTTACCACCAGGTCACGATTGCTTTGGGTGCCTCCTGTAAGCTTTGGTCATCATGATGCCTGAGCCAGGCCAGAGCCCCTGATGGCCATTCCCAAATTTAAACTCGAACGACGTGTTCTCTAACGCAGAGTCCCTGATTTCAACTGCTTAAGGTAGGGAAGCTAGAACCTGAAGCACAGCGAGCAGAAGGTACAACTTTACTGCTGGCCAGGCAGAAACAGAAATCGAAGCTGTAAACATTTATTCCATGCCTGGTCCATCCGGAGGCTTCATACAGCTGATCAGTCCAATTTCTCTCACCCCCTTCTGCTTTGGAAGAGGGCTCTCATGCCTGAGACATGGGACACATTGTCTACGTTAGATCACTACACAAGGCCTCAGTCCTCAAGGGTTGGAGCTCCAAGCCCCGGAACCCTGACAGTATGTATAGGATACATCAACCCCAATTGGAGCCTGTCTTCACCACTGAACTGTGATTATGCTTTCTCTTGCATTTTCTTGGTCTTTGGGTCCTGCTGTGCAAAACTGTGGGAGAGGGGGGTATCCATATCCACATCTACATAACTACTGACCACACAGTCCCCTTCGCAAGGTCAACGAAGCAAGACTAGGCCCTGAAATCTCATGCCACAATAAATGTGATTGTCTCTGAGGTTTAAAAAAAGTGTTTTCTGCTGTTTTTCTTACTACAGAGTAACATGGCATTGCTTCTAGTACTCAATATTAACTGGATTTTGGGATATCCTGACATATTTTATAGATGTAATTACTTTTTGATAGCTTGGGACACCCTGAATACAAATGGGCAAATGGTTTGTACAAGAGGATGCCAGAGGATATTTTATAGATGTAAATTACTTTTTGATAGTTTGGGACACCCTGAATACAAATGGGCAAATGGTTTTTTACAAGAGGATGCCAGAGGATTCCCCCAGTTCATGTGTCTGAGTTCCATACTCACATTTCCTCGGCTGAGGTAGACGGTGACCTGACCTTCGTCCCGGATCTCGGAAAACATGGGCGCTCCCACCAGGAGGTCTGAAAGTCCGTCAGAATTCAGATCAACTGCACATAAGGAGGAGCCAAAGTAAGAGCCCATCTGCAACCAAGCCGAGTCACAACAAAGCATTCAGTATCTGCCCACACACAGGAGGAAATCATTTATGCTTTTCTTCATTTGTAGCTGAAGTAGCAACTTGCTGCTTTATCTGACACTGGCAGCTCCTAGTCATTCCCTCGGGGGAATCTTTTGGCAACTGCCACAGCCTGTTTCCACACACACACATCCAGTAAAGTAATAAAACTCACACCTTCAGTTAGATCTTGACAGGGCTCTTTTTGTAGAAAAAGCCCAGCAGGAACTCATTAGCATAATAGGCCACACCAAACAGCAGAAACTGATTAGCATATTGGGCCACACCCCTGACAGCACGGCTCATTAGCACATTAGGCCGCACCCCCATGTTACCAGAAGTGTGCTCATCCAGTCACACCCACCTTTTATTCTGTTTACCTTGTTTGTTGTCAAAACCCAGGGCTTTTTTGTAGCAGGAACTCCTTTGCATGTTCGGCCACACACCCCTAATGTAGCTAATCCTAATGAGTTTCTGCTGTTGGGTGTCGCCTATTATGCTAATGAGTTCCTGCTGTTGGGTGTGGCCTATTATGCTAATGAGTTCCTGCTGGGGGTGGCCAACTTGGGAGCCAGCCGGAACTCCGTTCCTGTGTGTTCCTGCCCCAAAATAGCCCTGGATCTTGAAATAAGTTACTGCTGTGCTTCAAGAGCCATGGCACTAGTATTTTAGGGCATTTTAACCCATATTTCCTCCAAGGAACTCAGGGCAGTATACATGGCTTCCATCTCCTCTACTTTATCCTCAAAACAATCCTATGAGGTAGGCTAGGCAAAGAGGAAGTGGCTTCCCCAAGGTTACCCAGTATGTTTAATGGCAAGCAGGCATTTGAACTCGGGTTTCTCAGTCCTAGTTCAACACTCTAACCATTATACTACACTGGCTCTCTTGAAAAGTCAAGCAACACTCATGTTTTTTGGGCCTTTGTGAACACTCTAACACATATGCGGATTGTGACTTGCCTCATCCCGGGGCAAATCTTTTACGAAGTGGACAGTTCCAGAACAATGTCAGAATTCAGACATCGGTTAGGGTTTTCACAAAATTGGTTTAGCAGACGAAAAGGCATTAGGAAATTCAAATCTTGTTTACTTCACCTTGTTAAAAGGAATACTAACTAAGCCAAGGAAGCAAACACCACTGAAAACACATTTGAACCCTTTGTCTGGCCTAAGGTACCTTCCCCTGAAGGAAGAGACTTCAGATATCTCACGTGTTCTTTGACAGCTCCAGACTTAGGCTATCAGTCCCTAGGTCAACCATTTTGAGCCTTCTTCATTTAATCACCATACCACAAGTACTGATTTTGTGGTTTGTTAAATCAGTGCAGAAGAGCCAAGATGGCAGACAAGTCATTAGTGGGGACTGATTTGTGCAATGTGTCTGTCACAGAGAAGAAGAGAAGAGATTGGATTTATACCCAACCCTTCACTACCTGAAGGAGTCTCAAAGCGGCTTACAATTCCCTTTCCCTTCCCCTCCCCATGACAGACACCCTGTGAGGTAGGTGGGGCTGAGAGGGCTCTTTCGAGAACTGCTTGTGAGAGAACAGCTCTGAAATAACTTGTAACTGACCCAAGGTCACACCAGCAGTTGCATGTGGAGAAGTGGGGAATCAAATCCGGTTCTCCCAGATTAGAGTCCATGCTCCTAACCACTACAACAAAACGGTTCTCATTTCATGCAACAGCTTGAAAAGCCAAAGCCACACAACTTGCAGATTCGGCTCCAGTGCGTGCAGAGTTCCCACACCAGCATTCCCCACAAGCACATCACTTCCAATACAGCTAGGCACCTACCTGAAGACTCTCCATACAACATGATGAACAATTCTCACAAGTCATGGGACTCCCATACAGAATCATTTACCACAGTTCCCAGGTGAAAACCGGGTGAGAATATGCCCTGAATTGCTCTAGATTTTTGATGACTTGTGGTCACTTTTGTCTCTATCCACTGTGAAACTGGGACTGCATAGAATCAATCTACTGCTGAACGAATGTTCAGTGATTAACAAGTGGTCCCTGAACATCACGCAAGACAGAAATAACAAAAGACATCAAACTGAACTTATACTATGACTCTCACCTCATCATCCGCTTACTGGCTGAACATTTGCATTTCTCTGCCCTCCTTAATTTGATCACACGGTTTGTCTTTGACCAAAATGAGCCAAGAGATCGGGCCAATTTATTATATCAGTCAGGCAGCAGCAACCACACCTATCATTATTTAGTCAAAACTGACCTTTCAAATGCAGAAAAGCTGTGCGTTCTGTTTACAAGCTACTGAGGGAGGAAGGGAGATCTCTAGTCCACTCGGTTTTGGAGGTTTACAGTCAAATATTTCAGATTTGCATTTTCTTTGTGGATTTTTGCTTGTTTGCTATATTTTAACACACTCACTGGTAGTCACATTTTTGAACAAAGTACCATGAATTTAGGCAGTTTGAAATGGAAAACAGTATTATTAATTCAACAGCAACACTGTGCATGTGTGTGTGAAATAACTGAGGCAGTCTTACTCGGGGAACATTAGCTTTTTTTTCTATTCCCATCTGATACCATGAATTCAGGACTGATTGTGAGCTGCCTTGATAAGGACTGAGTGCACAGGATAGAAATGTCTCAAATAAGTTAACAAATGTTAGTTTTGTTAATATCTTTGCTAACTGCCAGTAAGGATCCAAGAGTCTCCAGCAATGGGCACTGGAGCAGTGAGATAAAGCTTATCACTGCAATCATGAAAGACAAAGTAGGTAATTGCCATGTGTGAAGTGGCCTTGAGGAAACAAGAGCTGGATGGGAAATAAAATCACAAGCAGACCTGACAAGAGGCGAACTTGTGACTTCTGAGCACTCTAAATGGAATCAGAATTAGTCAAAAGCACTGAGGGCAGAAGTTACTCATTCCCAGGGGTCATTTCGTAGAAAAAGAGCTAGGGGAACTCATTAGCATAACTCATTAGCATATGCCACACCCCCTGACATCAGGGGCCCGGTGGTGGACCTGCAAGGCCAGCGGGAGTGCGAGGAAGCCCTGCCAAGGCCCTCCCTGGCCCCAGGCAGGCAGGGGTGGGGAGAGGCGGGGAGGAAGCAACTTACCCTCCCTCTTCTCCTGCCTCCTCCTGGCTGAATGAGGGCTGGAAGCGGGGCAGCCGGAAGCAGGGGGCGGGGCTTCGTCATGTGCCCCGCCCCCTGCACCTCACCCGGGGGAACTGCGTTCCCCCACGTTCCCCCCCGAAATGACCTCTGCATTCCATACTAAGTAGAACAACTAACTCTTGTTTCACTTAATGATCACTCACCTTTTTTCCCGAAGCCTGAAAAATCTTAATGAGAGAAAGAGACCTCCTATCGGTTCGGAAAATGTAGACCTGCAAAGTTAAACAACAACAAAAATTTAATTCATCACATGTATATTATATAAAATTAAATTATGGCATTCCTCCAGTGGCCATCTTTTCTGGTGGGTTCAGCCTACCTACTCACCAATGCTCCCTCTAAGCTATGGAGTCTTGTGAGCAAAAATTCTACTTTGTGAGCTACTGGCATTAAAGTTGTGAGCGGGCGATTTGGCTCCTGCATAAATTAGTTTGCTCTGGAGCCATCCTTCCTGAGCTAAGAAAAAAATGTGTGAGCCGGAGGCTAAAAAACTGTGAGCTAGCTCACAGTAACTCAGCTTAGAGGGAACACTGCTACTCACCCCTCCCTTTAGGTGGCAGCCCAAAGAGAACTGTTCCAGATCCCCAGGGAACAGAGGTGCAGTGAACATGGCCACTGTATGGCCTAGTGGTAGGTCACTGAGTGGAATGTTGTGGCATTTCCATCCCACTGACCAGGCAGCTAAATTCTAACAAATATTTGACAGCTGGTTCCAACAGCCTAAAGGAGGCAGCCTCTAGCCTCTTCCAATCCCCACAATGCTGAAATGTGTCAGAGATTTGTTTCAGCTATGCTGAAGTCCTGTCAATAAAGTTGTGGCCCTGTTAAATCCAAGTCACGTGTTGCGTGCTCGTTCTTGGATTCAGCAAAGCTTAGTGCAAGCCAAGTCTCCTCTTCACCTGGGCTAAGTGTCATTGGTCTCCTTCCCACTGCCTCTTTCCACTTAGCTGCTTCACTGAGTTCCTGAAGTTTTTAATACTGAAAAAATTAGATGTTTACAGGGCTGCCCCGCCCCCCACATTTTGAGAGAGGAGGCAGTCTCTGGAGCACATTCCTGCCTGATGAACACTAGCATGGGAAGGAGCTAACCAGAGGCAAGGAGGGACATAGTGTCCATAGAGTGTCCATCTAAACCTGAACCCAGATGGAACAGCAAAGCTCTCTGTTGGTGTCTACTTCCCTCTGTGTGTGTACTAGAGGCTAAGAGGGGCAATGATACTGGACAAACTAGGATTTTCTGCATTCAGACATCATGACAAACTGCAGTTTATAAAAATTAGCTTCTCCAGTCTGTGTTATCTTCATAGGTGTTCAACCAGGGTTCTAAACTTTGGCTCGTTAACTGTGAGTCATACTACTATTGCCTGACAATGCAAGAGATAACATCTATGGATGCTGTGGAGGCAGGAAAGGACGCAAGTAACAGGCTGAGATTCCTGATGGGGTCTGTCCTGTACATCTGGTAGACTAACCAGGGCTTGTTCAATGAACTTTGGTTCAAACAAGCCACAGTTTGTTGTGATATTTGAAAGCAGGCAGTATTAGGCAGCCTGATGAACCTGTACTTGACTGCCATGAAGCCAAATAAGATAAATACCAAAACAAGTGCTTTGCTCATTTTAAAAAGTATTACCAGAAAAAAATAATCATACATGGTAACAATGCCAAGAAATCCATTTCAGGGGCTCTGCTGAAATTAGCCTGCAGCCTCACACTTCTTGTTCATCCGTGTATTTCCAGGAACTGAGACAATAAGTCTATCACTGCCACATTAACAAGGGCGTCAAAGCGTCATTAAGAACCACACCTTTCCAATGCCTCCGTCCTGGGGAGCCCCTCCTACGATGTCTGTGGTTGTCGGCTGAGAGAAGTGACCTGCTGTCACGGCATATCCTGAACAGGGTGTTGTGGGGTAGAGGATCAGGGAGGGGTCAGAAGGAGAAAAGTGACAAATTCAGAAAATAAGGAAATTGGTTACAAGAGCAGGTCAGCCATCTGGAAGATGGCAAGATTTTTCTTTCCTCCTCCCAGGGTCTAAATGTACTAGCATCAGGCAAAAAATCCAGAATACCAGGAAGTGGCCAGTGTTCAATTCAAGGATAAATATTACAATAAGCAGTGAACTGGTTTTTTTTCCCCCAACTGTGAACTGCTTTTTCCCAAAAAACAAGATGGTGAAGGCCTGGAGAGAAATCTTGAGAACAACAAGAGCCACATCTTCAGACAAGAAAGGGACCTGGTAAGAAAGCAGCTGAGGAGTCCAGATGCACAAGGGAAGAATGAAAACAGAGAAGAACACACAGTAAGAATGAGATTAATATTTTACGCCCGTAAGCAACAATTTCCATGTATACCAAAATGAACAGCACTCCCTCAGCTGGAATTGTTACACCAATTTTATTGAAGAAGAAAAGGCCATGGGCTAAGAGCAGTAAAGAAATACAGAGTAAATGTTTTTAAAAAGCAACCTGCCTGGGTCAGAGCTCAAGAACTAAAGTATATAACAAAGAAAGGGAACAGTTTTATCTGAAAGATGGGTATCAATCATTGCTCCCATTTGCTGCACTAAATATGATATATTATGATACCAGAGAAAAAAAAGAAAAGGCTTGGCTCCCAAACCTTCTTTGTCTCCCCCTCACACGTATACACTGTGAATTATAGGCCTTTTTATCAGCCCGCTAAACACTGTATTTCAGGGCTCTTCGAAGGCAAAACCTCTACATCTTCAATATATATATGCCTACCTCCCACTTAACGATTCTCTTGTGGGTTTCCCTAAGTGGTCTTTAAAAAAAAAAAAGAGTGCGGGACTGAGGGCTAAAGAATCTAAGAGGTCAGACTCAGATTTTTAAAAGCACTGCCTCAGCTTAACATGCCAAACAGATCAGGTAAGTGAAGGTCTGTCAATGTTTTCATAATCAGAGCAAGTAGCCACCGGGGACCAGACAGAAGCCATTACATGTACAGTATTTCTCTTCATGAAATCTGCTGCACTATAAACCCAAGTTATTAATGAACAGTGATGCTATCTTATCTTGGAATATTCTCTTATGGACAGTACATCATCAGTAAAAGATTCCTTTACCAAGACCATTAATGAATTCACCTCGAAAACACTCTGTGACCAACCCATGACAAAAATTAAAACTAAACAACCAATATAGGACAATTTGAAGATGCTGATATTTTCTTGACAGAGATTTATATCATACATAGACTGAAAAGAACACTAATTCCTATGATATAGGAGAAGAAACCCCTGAGCCTAATCTCATCAGATCTCAGAAGCTAAGCAGAGTCGACCCTGGTTAGTCTTTGGATGGGAGACCACCAAGGAAATCTGGGGTCATTACCCAGAAGCAGTCAACGGCAAACCACCTCAGAATGTCTCTTGCTTTGAAAACCTTACAGGGTCGCCCTAAACCAGCTGTGACTTGACACTGCTATATTTTGCTAAATGTGTCAGCGCTATACTTTAGCTATATTTTGACAGAGAAACTTAATGATAACTACACAATATCAGTGAAACGGGGCTGAGAGTAGAACCTAAGAGTTCAAAATCCCAGTCTAAAGATTAGACCAGTGGTTTTAAAATCTGCTACTTAAAAAAACCCTTCCTTTCCATTGAGACATCTTCCACAGAACCGCTGCACACAACACAGAATTTGTAGGATTAAAAAAAAAAAATACTACACCGAGTCATATAGCATACCAGATAGGCCTACTAGACCTCACCTGTGCGAACTGACAGTGTACCCCATAACATATTCTGTTCTCCACCATTCTAGGGTAAGATCAGTAGTAGTAAACAAGTGATATCATAGAATCACAGAGTTGGAAGGGGCTGTATGGGCCATCTCAATGCAAGATTGGCCTAGAGCAGTGGTGGCGAACCTATGGCACGGGTGCCAGAGGTGGCACTCAGAGCCCTCTCTGTGGGCACGCGTGCCATCGCCCCAGCCAGGCCCAGACCATCATTAAAGTGTCGAATTCTCTGCCAAATAACTTTAAGTAAATGAAAGCATTTGGGATTGCTTTCCTTACTTTGTTTGGATCATCTTAAATTAATGTATGGGTTGTTTTTTTAAAGTTAAACTTCAGTATTCAGGTTAAATTGCTGTGTTGGCACTTTGCGATAAATAAGTGGGTTTTGGGTCGCAGTTTGGGCACTCGGTCTCTAAAAGGTTCGCCATCACTGGTCTAGAGCATCCCTGACAAGTGTTTGTCCAGCCACTGCTTAGACAACCAGTGAGGGGGAGCTCACCACCTCCCTAGGTAGCTGATTCCACCTTTGAACAACTCTTACTGTAAAAAGGTTTTTCCTAATATCCAGCCGGTACCTTCCCGCCCTTAATTTAAACCCATTATTGTGAGTCCTATCCTCTGCGGCCAACCAGAACCGCTCCCTGCCCTCTGTGACAGCTTTCAAATACTTAGAGAGAGCGATCATGACCCTCGTCAACCTCCTCCTAACTAAATAACTAAATACATCATGGGGCCCTCATAAGCATCTATAGAATCCCAGGCTCCACACAGTATAGTTTGAGAACCATTAGGTCAAGAGTTGTCATTGACAATCATTGTGTTCGGATGTGAAGACAGATTATCATTAAAATTTGAAACATCTCCATTACTCACCCAGGTAGGTATACCGTTTGGCGATCACAGCATCATCATTCAATTTAAAATAAGTATTATCAGTGAGGTTCAGAACTTTGATGGTTCCTGTCCAGTAGAAAGACCCAGGGGCTCCCATAACAACCAGTTCCTACCAAGAAGAGAGAAGAAATTGGATTTATACCCCACCCTTCACTACCCAAAAGAGTCTCAGACAGGGGTCATTTCGTAGAAAAAGAGGTGCAGGGGCTCATTAGCATAACTCATTAGCATAACTTATTTGCATATGCCACACCCCCTGGCATCACCGGAAGTGTGTCAGAAGGCAACAGCCACCGCTCAGGCTCCACTGGACTGGTTTTGGATTGCTAGCTATCGGGGGGGGG